CAGCACCTCCTTATCCGAGTGGGTCCATAGGAATTCTTTATCTAATAAGGCTGCCTTTTTGGCTAGCTGATCTACCTTATTGTTTAGTTTTGAGATTTCTGCATGGTCCCGTCTCTGAGCCCTCACTAAACATAGATAGATGCTACCAGACCTGTTGGAGGCTGGCCTCCAGACATACAGAAGATATTTTGCATGGGGTATAGGTTGACTGTCTGCTATTCATATCCCTCGTTGGAATCACACTGGCATCCACTCGCCCAGCGCTCTAATAACCCAGTCAGAGTAGGAGCAGATGCAGATGTCCTCATTTAGATTTTCCTCATACGGCACTTATAGAACAGCCATGACCTCAGTGGCCTGGGCTGAGTGAGGTCACACAGTTCCTTGCAGGGTCCTTTGAAGGTCTGTCTGAATTGCTGCATAGCCTGTATGGGGACTCCCATCCCAGTGGAAGCAACTACCATCGATAACCCAGATTTTTAATTTCTGATCTTTGACTTTTTGGTCGGGTGGGAGGGTGACTTGATCCGTTTTTCTTGGACAGGTAGTGGACACTCATGATCTTGTCCTTCTGTGAGTGTATGGCATCGCAGTAGGTTGAGGTGTTTCAGCACTGTAATGCCTTTATTTATAAGACTCAGCGCCCATCCAGTGAGCCTGGGGCTGGAAACTCGACCCTCATTTGTTCTGCTGGATAAAACATACTACAGGGGAGTGTGGGTGGTCTTGAGGACGATAGGTGGCATATCAATGAGGTACTCCCAGTGGCCCAAAGACCACACTAGTGCAAGTACTTCCTTCTCACAAGTGTTGAATTGTTTTTTTACCTCGCTTAGGATTACTGTTCCATAAGCAATGGGCTTGAGACTGCTGCCCTGGTCCTGAAGAAGGACTGCATTAATTCCTTGCTTGGATGCTTGCTGCAGCTGATAGGGCTGGTCAGGTTTGGGGTATGCTAGAGCAAGAGCTTTGGTGAGGGCTTGTTTTAGGGAACAAAAGGCCTCTTGAAGTTCTTGGCCCCACTCCACTCCTTCTCAACAGCAGATACAAGGGTTTGGCCAGTTCCACATACCCCTCTATGAATTCTCTGGAAAACCCTGTGAATCCAAGGAAAGTTTGGAGTGCAGAAATGTCTTGTGGCGCAGGGAGCTTGCATATTAACTCCACCCTTTGTGTGTCTGGATACCTATCTTCCTTACCTAGTTTTATACCTAGGTATTTCACTTCAGGTAAGACCAGTTGAGCCTTGATGGGGTTGATGATGAACCCTGTGTTCTTTATCTTGTCTAAGTCAGCATCCAGGATTTGGAGATTCTCTTCTCTGGTGTTGGTTGCTATCAAGATGTCATCAACATAGCTGAGAATCTTATCCTGATCTTTCATGGACTTCCACATCTTAGAGACGTGGTGGTGGCAGATGGAGGGTGCACTGTGTAGCCCTTGAGGGACATGGCTAAATGTGTATTGCCAGTCCCGGTAGGTGAACGCAAACTTGTGCTGTGATGATGGATGCAGGGGAATAGAAGAAAAAGTGTTAGAAAGGTCCAACACTGAGAACCATCTTGCTCTTGAAGTGATAGCTGCCATTATCTCATTAAATTTAGCAACTACTGGGGCAAGACATGGTGTGACCTTGTTGAGCTCCCTGTAATCGATGGTAAGACACCAGTTCTTCTTGTCTGCCTTCAATACAGGCCATATTGGAGAGTTACATGGGCTTTCGGTTTCATACAGGACTCCTTGCTGTACTAGGGCATTGATGGTGTCCTTAAGACCCTCTTCAGCAGCAACAGGATAACGGTATTGCCGTTGAGGTTTGTGGTCTGGTCCATTGACCATCATCTCAACCTTTGTTCTCCCACGCTGGAGCTTGTTGGTAGCAAAGACTTACAGGTATTTCTGTGTAACGATGCCCACATCTGCATCCCAATTAGGCATCACTAAGCTCTCAGGTGCCTTCACTGCTGCCACTTGATGAGATGCAGGTATTACTGCATGCTGGTTGCTTCCTTTGTCTTGGACAAGCTGTAAATTTAGCAGATCTACTACTAGGCCCAGCCTTGACAGCAGGTTTATGCCGAGGATACCTTGGCCACCTACGGCTTGAACCCCAAAGATAGCTTTGGTAACCATTGTGTGGATGATGCACATAATAGGTTTGATGAAGGGGACCACACTTCACTTACCATTGAACTCTTCTAAGATCTGTGTGTCTTTAATGGGGATCTTCTTCACCTTAGGTTCAGTGTCTGTGCACAGAATGGATACAGTGGCACCAGTATCTAGTCACAATTGCTGACCACATTTTCCAAACTCTCCCTCTACTATGACTGATGTTGTAGGTCTTCCCCACCTGTCAAGTATTATGGGTGCCATTGCTGGGGAGTGAGGCGGAGGTTGGCCCCGTCACATTAGGTTTGGAACTTCTGCGTCTGTCACGTTTTAGAGGTTGTTCGCTGCTTCTCGTATTGGGCTAGCTTCTGCACCAGCTCCTCTGTCGGCAGCCTGTCAGTAGCCTCCCTTGTTTCAAATTGGAGCAGCTTCCTCCACAGGGTGTTTTGAAAGGCTTTTTGTTCTTCAGAGTAAGAGCTGTCTTTATAGCTCTCTGGTTTTTGATAGGACATTGCAGGCTTCTTGTTACCTTGCTGGTGACAAGGACTTTTCTTGGGGAGCTCCTTTCCCTTACTGCTTCTCTCTGTGACCTCAGAGACCTTTCTTCTGGATCCAGGCACAGGAAAGGTCTCCCTCTGGACTTCATATGCCTCATGCAGGGCACTTGAAGTCTTATAGACAACAGCACTCATGGCACACCCAACAATGGCTGGCCTGTGTCAGAAGCAATCACTGCTTCCCTCAGCAGCACCTCAGCTGTTTCCGCAGACTGGGTTAGGTTCTGCAATGAGCCAGGCTTGCTTATAGCTACAGCCTGCTCCACCAATTTACAAAGCTGTTACTCCCCATGGAGCTGGGCTTCGCTGCAGTCTATTCGGTGCTGGGCCCTGCCACAATCCACTTACACAGAGCTGAGCTATCTTAGCTGCAGTCTGCCACTTTACTCCTGGGGGAATTCTGTGCCAGTGTGCATGTACAGAATTTATGTCCCCCTGCATATTTCTTTGCTTCCCTGCAGAAAAATGACTTTCTGATGGGGAAGCAAAGGGAAGCCACAAGAGTGGTCATGTGACCTTCCCTAGCAGTATGTTTTGGGTGCCCAGGGCAGCTGGCAGAGAGACAAATCACTGTGGGGCAGGGAGTGGGACTGGGAAGATCCAGCTGGTGGCTCCCACCCAGCACCAGATTCAGCTGCTAGTCTCGGCTGGGCTGGGAAGGACAAAACTTTCTCTTCCGCTGCACAGCACCTGGGGCCGTGCCAGACCCATCCCCAGATATCTCCCTTGGCTGTAGGAAGCTCTGCAAACTCCCCTCCACTTGCCCTCCACGCTTCCTACACCCATTGCTCCTCAGCTGCAGGGGGAGGGATTCCTGTAGAGGGAGCTGCTCCCCCATCCACCCAACCCCTGTGTATCCAGACCCCCTCATACTCAGACCCTCCCAGCAAGCCTTACTCCCTGCACCCAGAACCCCCTCTGATGAGCCCAACTCCCCCTGCACCTGGACCACCCCGACAAGCCACCTGTACCTGGATCCCCACCCTATAGAGCCCCAACCAGCTGTACCTGGATCCCCACCTCACTGAGACCCACTCCCCCAGCATCTGGACCCCGCAGTGTGCCTCTCACACCAAGACCACCCTGACGATCTCTATCCCCCCAACACCCAGATATCCCACCCCCACTGAGCCCCAACCATCTTCACCTGGACCCCCCTGCAGAGTCCCATTACTGTTGCACCCAGAACCCCCCAACAAGCCACTGCACATCCAGATTCCCCACCCCGCACCCGGATCTCTCACTGAGCTGCCTGCACCTAGATTGCCCCACACAGAACCCTCTCCACCCGCAACTGGATCCCTCCAGGCTAAGCCTCTCTGCACTTGGATCCTGCTTTGCTGAGCCTGCCTGTCCACACCTGGCACAGAGGGGCAGGGCCCTGGGGTGTTTCTGGGGCAAGCCCTGTCATTGCGCTGTGTCAGGGTTGGGTGCAGCCTTATTGTTGAGTCCATGTTCTGGGGGTGAGCTGCACAGTGATTTCCCATCTCTGTGCAGCCAGTGGGCTGTGCTCCCAAATGCCATGCTGGAGTCTCCACATTTGTTTGACAAATACATTTTGCCGAATTTTTTATTTTTTTGGTGCAGAGTGCCCGGTTTGGATCTGCAACAAGTATATATGTTCCACAGTGCACAAAGCTGTAACACCTCACACGCATGCCCAGCCCTGCCTCCCCAGTCCAAGTATGGAAGGGCTTAGTGTGGGGGGGAATCCAGGTGTGGGCTGAGAGAGTTCTGTGTGTGGCAGTCTTGGTGTGGGTGGCTCAGTGGGGGTCCAGATGTAGAGGGGATCTGGATGCACAGGGATTTGTTGGGGGGGGTGGTTCTGGTTGCAGGGGGAATGGAACTTTCAGGGGATCTAGGTGAAGGTAGTTGAGGCACAGCGGGGGGGTCCTGGATGCTGGCGGGGGGCTCGGTGGGGGGGTCCGCATGCATGGGGTTGGGCGTAGAGAGGGGCTAGCTCCCTGTACAGTGACCCTTCGCCCCCTCTTTCTCCCGTGGCTGAGAAGCGATGGGGACAGGAAATGGAGGGTGGGGGCAAAGCTTCCTGCAGCTGGGGGAAGTTCCTAGGGTAGGTCTTACCTTCCGTCAGGGGAAGTCCTGTTGTACACACACACACACACACATCCTCCCAGGCGGGACTAGCAGCTGAGCACTCACCTGGGTTAGGAAGAAGCTCAGCCACCTGACTCTCCTCACTGAAAATGGCCACAGGCTACACGGGGAAACAGACCAGCAGGTACACAGTGCCTTGCATCACTGCTCGCACCCCCCTAATGTTCCTCCATGCCCCCTTGGAGGGGAGGGGGTGAGCAGTAACTGAGCCCCAAGTTTTTCACTTTAGAAGTAAAGGTTTTTATTATGGGCAACCAGTAGTAATACAGATCCTTATACAGTTCTCTCTGTCTGTTTTAGAGTATTTGCTCCATCTCAAACTCTTTTGTTGTTATTGTCATCCATCAGGGCTCACCTCTTGGCTTTGGTGGTAATGTAACAGTTGGAGATTTGGTGTTCGTATGGGAAACTTCACAAATCTTCCTCTTCAGCCACTGTCAGCTGTAGAACAAATGTAATTGTCCATGAGCAATTGCGAGGCTATGTCTTTACATGGTGTTTCCTTCTGAGGGGAAATCCCTTCTCCTTACAATTAGTTTACTCCATTTATCCATTCCCCTCCTCCCAAAGTTCAAACATCTGTTACCATGTAGATGATTTAGAGCTGCTATTTAGTTAAATGTACTTTGGATTTTGAGGTTCACCAGGATGTCTTCAAGTATTACTCCTAGGGGAATTATGCACAAAAAAATTAAAACTTCTGTGCACAATACTTTAAAATTCTGCATATTTGTCAAAATAACACAATATAATCATTCCAGTTTCAATTCTTTTGGTAATTTATTTCAAAATACTGGTCAATAAGAATGTCAACAATACAGACAACGGGAAAAAAGATTCCCCCAGGAGTGCATGCTGGCCTAACAGGTACCAAATGGGTAGGGAGATCTCACTCAAACCAGAGACATCCAGTTTTATTTACACTTGAGACACATATGCTTCAGGATGTCAAATAGAAGAAGATTTTTAACTTACAGGGGCTTCTATGAAAATCCCTCTGAGTCGTCTAGTCAAGGTCGTTCTGCTCTGTCGGTTGCCCGAGAGTGATGACCATCGGAGTTGTGGCTGCTGTGGTGTGTGGGCAGTGCTGCGAGTGGGCGGCTGTCTGCTGTCACTGAGGTAAAACTGCTCCTCCAGTGAGAGATATGGAAGCCTGCTGGGTACTGCTGCCGGGCTGCTGTGGAGGCCTCCTGTTGTCGGGGTGCCGGGAGCGGCCATTGCCAAGGCAACCCTGGAGCCTTGGGGTGGCCGGCTGCTGCTGCTGTTACAGTAGCTGGCTTTCAAGCAGCTCTTCCTTTTTCAGCTTTTCAGGTGACTTCTCTTGCGCAGGTATCTTCTTATAGGTGTTTGGCAGCGTTCTGCTCTCTTGCTGGTCCCTATCCCTACAGAGCTTTAGCTTCTCGGCTGCTGCTTTTATATACTGTTTGGCCACCTAGGCTCAGCCAATCAGCTTTCAGCTTTTTGATCGTCACACCCTAGCTCCTCCCAGTCACGTGTACCTATGTGACTAGGCACTCCTCTTCTGCCCATAGAGTTCTATGGGACTGTCAGCTGTCAATCAAAAGGAGTGTCCCTCCCTACTAGAGGCCCCATAGACTTCTATGGAACTCCTCAGATGACCTTTAAATTAACCCTAGCTACTTCAGCTGACCTTTGGATGAACCTTAGCTAAAGTCCTATTTGTTTCTATGGGCTAGAAAGTATCTCTGTGGGATTTTGCTGAGTCATTCCCCACAGGAAGTGATGCAATATCTTGTCTTGATTGCATCATCCCTATTAATTTCTATGGGCGCCCATGCATTCTTATGAGATTTTCCACTACATTACATAGCCCTGTAGCCACCATTACGAGATTTTCTAATTTAAACTATTATTAATTTGTATTTAATTAAAGCTTTATTCTTAAAACTGATTACTGTTCTAAGCATATCAAAGGGTCCTGATACTATCACCACGTATTTTATGTTCAATTAAGCTTTATAATTTTGACTAATTTAAACCCCTTCGGGGGGTTTTCTGCAGATTTTCCCATTCAGAGCTTGATACGGCATTCCGGGCAACTAAGGCAAAAGTCTCTCATTACAATTCCTCTCCTTGTTGGCTTGTAAACACTTCATAAACATGTGAGTCCAATGAGTGTGCGGTCCTGTCCAGTATAGACTCAAAGCTTTCCTTTGCAGGAAACCGAGCCATCACATCTTTGCACTGTCACACTTCCTTGCCACTCTCGATTCTCACACTGCTCACACTCATTTGTGTGCCATAATAATTTCTTTTCAGGGAGGGAATCTGTACATGCTTAAGATGTTGGAATTTCCTTTTAGTCCAACCCAAAATAAAGAGCATTGCCACCATTATTATTTGCACTATCAAAACTATAACAATTAAATGCAAGATTATGTTAAAGAATTTTGAAGCCAAGGGAGATAATCCCCAAAATACATCCCACCAGCTATGCTTGGTGATTCTTTTAATATGTTCAATTACCTAACTTGAACTTGAACAGAACTTGAAATCACAACCTGTCACAGAGGTGACATTACATAAACATTTAATCTCATGTGGATTATTTTACATTATACGTATATATATATATATATATATATATATATATATATATATATATAATATAATTCACCTTAAACAATGTACACCAACTTCTAATATTAACATATTTTCTCCCAACATATATGACAACTGATCCATTAAATGGAAAAGGATCCGGTTGATAATGACATTCTCCTCTTTCTCTATTTAAACATACGTCATAAGATTGGATTGTATCGTTATTACACACATATCCGGTTCCTCGTTCTTCCATATAGGCCTCAAGTTTCACAGTCTTCCATGTCTGATTCTGTTTGATTGCCCCACGTTTATGTCCAACTGGTTGCATTACACTTGTGTTAATATTTAACCCAAGTGATACAATAGGAGATATGCTTTCAGTAAGGGCTTCAGACATCATAATTATGAATGTGTTGCTTGGTTCCATTGAAGATTGTATGTGAAGTTTACCATCCTCCACCAAGAGTATCTCTTCTGAGGTTCGGAGGCATGTTTCCACATAATACTCCTTTTCTCCAAAGGTAGAATACCACTCATTCCATCTCTTATAATATCCTTTACTAGATCATTAGTCCACGTTTGTGACAGATAGTTTTGTAGTACCTCAACTGCCTTTAAAATATTTAAATGATCTTTTATTTGTGATTTGTCCCATCCAGGAAGCAAATTTTTTACAAAATAATGGCTAACACTCAGATCAGTTAGAGATGTCATTAAAGGCTTAGATACTGTTCCTAAATGTCATCCCATTGTGTTCAATTTATTGGCTAATACCTCTGTATCTATACTATTTAACACGTCTAATCCTGTACCTGTTCCTCCTAATATTGTGCTCATCAGATTTCTTCTTAGCCTATTGGTGGGGGTTCTTAACAAAAGTTGGATTTCCATCTGGATTTTACACCTGGCTGTGAAGGATCAGAGCCACAGTAGCTGGCAATCTAACTACTCCCTTTCATCAAAGATGCAGGTTATCAAACCTACTTCTCAATTCCAAAGACAGCCCTGCCACTAACAGCAGCTGTGACATCACATGGTTAAACTGAACCAATCTGAAACACTGTGGTCTTATCCAGTGAAAACACACAGCAATGTGACAAGACTGACTAATCAGTACATGATTTATTCACATCTAGTTGATACAAAGTGAGAGTTAAAAAAATACTTAGGTTCTATTTCAAATTGCCGTCCTTAGAAACTCTTTTGTCAATGTAAAAAAAAATTATTGAAATCAACATGTTGAGAAACATTTTGATTTAGATGAAAAACAGCATTTTCTATTGGTAAAACTGTTCAATTGGAAATATTTCAACCAGCTTGACAGGTGCATTCAATGTTCCCCCATTATTAGGCTTGGCAGCTTTTGCTGTTTGCAGTGATGTAAAGTATGGTGCATGGAGGGGTTACATGTCTACAGTATTGTCATTTAACAAAGCAGTCTTCTGCTTTTTCTAAGCCTATGAACTTTAGTTTGATGGGTTTTGTTTATAACAATGTATGCTTGGTCTCCAAATGGCTCTGTATATCCTCCTTTTTAATGGCTGTATGCATGCCCCCAAATCTTCTGCCAGCTACTGGTTGATAGCTAACCAGCATTCGGCTGTGTTTTAGGCTGAGTCTACCACAGAAGAAAGTCAAGCTGCAAGCAGCTGATCCATAGAGGGGAAGAAAGAGTAAGATAGTGGTCAAAACATAGCACATAGCTGGGAGAACGTGGTGTAATACAGATTCAGTTAACTTCTGCTCGTAGGAAATGCTGGAGAGTAGGAGGCAACTTCAGCAAAACAGCAAATTCGGGGCGGGGGGGGGATGCTAAATCCTGGGTTGTGCTGGAAAAGTGTGAATGTCTGCAGAGTCCGTAAGGGTTTGATTGAGAATGGACCAGTTCACCTCTTTTAGAGTTAATTGCTTCAGGCTGCCTGCAAATTTGGGCAAGCATCACTGTGTTGGTTTAAACTTGGTTCACGCTTTTGGAAGTCCTCCATAACAGTAAAGATCAGACACAGTTTTTAATGGAGGGATAAGAAAAGGAGCTGAAGCTCATTGTTAACTCTCCAGAGTGTAAGAATCCCTAGTTTAGTGAGTGTAAGATCTGAAAGACTTAATACTTTTCTTTGAAAGTTAACGCCTTTACTACACAATGAAAAGATATTTGGCTTTCAATTATAGACCAACTCAAACTAGCTGGCACTTCTGATGGAAGGAATAATAGAAATACAATAGAATCGTGTATCAAAGATCAGTAACTAAGGCAAGTTATGTAAGCTTTCCAGTACTTTTCCTTTATGTTCTATAGTGCACTGATCTCCTAAATTGTCATTTTTATTCTTTTGTACTGTGTGCAGTAGAGAATATAATGGCATTTTACTTAATTCTCTTAATGTTCAGATGCTGATTTTTTCAATGATCCATATGTCTCGATTATGTTCTGGTCTTTGTTGTGGAAATGAAAAGCTTCCATTGAATACTAATGGAAAAGCCAGAGACTCATGAAGAATTTTGGAAGCAGGATATGAAGTGCAAGATCTGCCTTTTACTCATAAGTTTTACTTTATAAAACAATACACTTGGTGCCAAGGAGGCTAGCTCTCAGCTATGGAAATGGGAGTTTCTAAAGGTTTTGAGGGGACAAGCAGGTGGTAGATATGGAGAAGAATTACTTGCAATGGGAATTTTGATGGGATTCATTCAGTGTCTGTACCCCAGTCTCCTTCACTGCTGTTTTGTCCTCTTTACATGTCTGCCCTGTTTCATCTCTCATCCCAATCATAGGAAAGGGTGGGTTGGGTGGGAGTGCAGAATGGGGATGTGAAGAGGGAGAATGAGAAAATCAGTGGAAGAAGGGGAAGAGGACAGCTTGGGGCTCTATAAAGATTAGGAGAAAGGGAGGCAACCATTCTGTCAGCAGGGTAGATGATAAGGTTATGGGAATGGGAGACAGGGAAGAAATGAGGCCTGAAAATAAGCCATGGTTCCTTTTGGTTCTTCAGTGCAATTCAGAGGAAGAACATACACATCAGAGATGGGTAAATAATATGTACAGTAGCTTCTTTTCTTAATGGTCACAACTAGTCCCCAGTTTATTATCACAGTTAGTTCTGTATAATGAATAATTTTCCAATCTGTGGTCTAACTCACTTGCAAAAGATTCAGTATTTATTCAGTATTTGAGGTATTTGACTGCTTACATAGTATGCTTCAAAGCCCTTTTTGTATGAACATAATTCTTGGGATCAAATTGTGTGTGCTAATATAAATAGGAAAATAGCTTTCTGCAAATACTTTTCAGTATTGTCTTAACTGTTTTATCAAATGTTTCTAACAGTGAACTCATTTGTTGGAATATGCATAGATAGCTAAAGAGTGAAAAGGATGCAAACAAATCCAACTGACCATCTAGTAAACATATTTCGCACCTCTTCACCAGTCAGTAATCTGAGAGTTAAATAACATATCTATTATGCCTGTGCATGCTAATTTTTGGTGTATTTTGAACGGCATGTATGGTGTGTAGTTAGAGGAGGCCTTGAAACATAAAAACCTTTGTATCAGAGGCCCAGTATGATGCCTAAGGCCTGAACTAAAGTAATGGTCAAGACTTTGTTAACATAAAAGAAAGTTAAGCTGTGAGCAAGAGGCACGCCCTGCTCAGAGTCTGACAAGGAGAGGGGTGATGTTGCAAAAACACACATACCTAAAAGGTACTGGACACGAGATATAAACATATGTCAGGATGGTACCAGAACATTCCGATACTAGCACATTCCACACAGATAACAAGGGACAGGCGGACCCATCCTAAAGACAGGCGCAAAAGGGTAATATGATGGATGGGGTTGTTTTGATTGAACCAACATGTACAAGGTGATTGGCGGCACCTTACTACATAGAGGA